TGAATTTTTCATTTTATATGAGTAATCTGGTGGGATAAGTACTAGTGTTGTAGGATGAGTTCAAATATCAGAACCAATAATAGTTTGCCACGTGAAAAGAGATATATGGAGTCTAATATTCGTCCTTAATGTTGTGCATTCTTCGTAATCCCAATCTTTCAAGAAGTTCTTTAGTCCCCAAAGGCAAAAGCTACCAGACCTGACCTTGAGAAAAAAATAAGTATGAATCTATTAATTAAAATTTTTTTTTTTTTTTTTTTCGCTCAATTGAAATTCCTTTGATGACTCCAAATTAGAATTAGGGACTGTACAATTTATAACTTTTGGGGCAAGTAGTTATGAGGGAAACTAACTTCACAAATTTAACAACTTTAAATCTCTAAACAACCAGAAGTTGAATTTTCATCACAAAATTGATTTTCTCTATGAATATGTGCGTGCTGTTTCTTGGAAATTTATTCAGAAGATTTTAAATTTTGAATAAAATAATAAATATAAAACTTTATACTCAATATCTATAATTTCTTGATGCGTTATTCATGGCTAAAAGCATTGTTTCAATTAGGGGTGAGCATGAAAATAGGTTCTACTCGGAACCGACAAGAACCCGAGGTCTTGGTTCCGGGTAGGAACGAGAACCAGCCCTCACAGGGTAGGTTCCGGTTATAAAAAATAGGAATCGGACCCCCGGTTCCGGTTCCAGTTCCGGTTCCTTCATTCTAGGAACCAGGAACCGGAACCGAAACCTGGAATAAGGTACCTTGCTAGGAACCGATACTAGGGTACCCTGCAAGGAACCAGTAACAAGGTACCCTGCAAGGAACCGGAAAAAGAACCGGGGTTTATACAAACTAGTATACAACATTAGGGGGTTTTAATGAATTTTACCCCTAGACTTTATACACAATTGGCAGTAGTGGATCCATAAATTTCTATTAGGGTGAGCCAAAATAAACACTAATTACATATTAATATTTTTGTTAGTGTGGGCCAAAATCTAGAAATTGTACATATTAATATTTAAAAAAAAAAAATTTGAGGGTGGGCCATGTGTAACAAATCCCACATTGAAAGCGTATTGGGGAGGTCTTGGGCTTATAAATGGGGGGAGTCCCTCCACTTAATAGGTTAGCCTTTTGGGTGTGAAACTCCCAGCTCGTGACAAGTGGTATCAGAGCAGACCCAATCCGTCTTTTGATGTCCCATCAAACGCTCACGCAGGGGCATCCACGTGTGATTGTGGGTCCACACAAGAGTGAGGTGGATGGGTAGACAGGGGGCCCCACCTGTGACGAGGGCGTCACAGGATTGGGTGGGGGAGAATGTAACAAATCCCACATTGAAAGCGTATTGGGGAGGTCTTGGGCTTATAAATGGGGGGGAGTCCCTCCACTTAATAGGTTAGCCTTTTGGGTGTGAAACTCCCAGCTCGTGACACATGGCACATCACCTCTGATAAGTAGTGAACATTTTGGATTTTGGATTTTGAATATGAAGAAGCTATGAATAATTTTAATATATAGTCTTATACTATATATTAAAATTATTTGAAATATTGAAATTAATTAATAAGGAAAAAGATTATATTGTTATAGAATATTTAAACAAATGGGGGTGTATTTGTAAATTTTTTAGGTTTTTTTGTCATTTTGTAAAGTTACAGGGACCACTAAAATTATCCAGGGTACCTAGAATCAGAACCGAAATCTGTTGGTTCCTATTTCGGTTCTTAATTTTAGGAACCGACCGGTTTCGATTCCTCCAAAAATCTCATGGTACCTAAACTCGATCACCCCTATCAATAACATTCACAGGATATAAACATATTTATATTTATGTGTATAAACCAAAACATAGTGTTTAATAAAATAGTAAGCAATTATTTGATCAGTTGGGTTAATATCAGAATGGCGACTTTCATCAAACAAAAATGCTATCCTTACAAAGACAATATAAAGAGGACTACAAAGTGACATCCGCAAGAAGAAAAAAATAAAGAAAAAATGGAAAAAGAGGGAGAGAGAGAGAGAAAAAAAAAATCATGAAGATGAAGGGTGGGAATTGTCTTTGTATGCCCTCTTTGTTTTTATCTTTGTAAGACTAGTATTGCTCTTCATCAAATAGTTGAATAATATTTTTAATTAATTTTTCATAAATAAAATATGTTTAGAAAATTTTTGCAAAAGACTTTTTCATGTATTTCTCCAATTTAAAATCCCCACTATAACCATCGTTACTAAGTCCAGTAAAGGCTTCTCGATCCTCTTTCGAAACCCAGTAAAGGATCTGGCTCTAAGATGCGAAACCTACCCGCCCCTTCAACTTGAAATTCAGTAATCAATTCTCCATCACTTGAAAATGAATGAAAAGATTTGAATTTTGGGATTAAAATTCAATAGAATTAATGAAAAGGGTAAAGAGGATTGCGAAATTAGGGGTTTTATTGAGGTGGGTGTTGCAAAAAGCAGAGCAAAATTAAACTGTTTGATATATTTAATTTAAAAAGCCCTTTTATATCGTGAGAAAAAAAATTGTTGAAATTATGAGAATGAGAAGATAGCTAATTACCTTGAATATTAATAATCCCATTCAAATTATTCGGTTGTAGATCCAAATATTTTAATGAGGACACATCAGTTAGAGATGATAGGATGCTATTATTGAATTTGTTGACTCCTAAAGATAGTCCCTCAAAGTTACTCAACCTACAAATACTCAAACATTTTCAAGTGTATAAATTGATTTCATGAATATTATCATATAATGTAACACAAAGTTATTATCAAACTATTGAAAAAATAAATCAATAAGTAAAAGTAAAATTCCAACTTTAATATTTTTGGGGATCTTTTCCAATATTTTGATCACATATGCATACAAGTCCAATTGATTGAATTTAAAATATAAAAAACCATTCCAATCTAAAAAAATTCCTATCAAACACTTAAACTTGAAGTTCCCAATTTACCATTATAATACAAACAAATCTAAAAATCTTTTTATTATATTTCATAATTAAATATATTAAAAGAATATGTAGTGTTTGCCTGTTTGGCCACAACAACAGGAGAGAGAAACGACGACCCTTAGTTTCTTCTCCTCGAAGCTCCTACGGCCAAAACATAATTTAATTGCTAATTATTCTTACATAATACAATAGATAGCTTTGAGAGCAACATTTGGTATCAATAGTGTCATCATACACTCTTGGGATACTTTGTTAGTTTCTAGCGTCGGTCACCGACGGTCGACACTCACGGGTAATTATTATTTTATTTTTTATTTTTATATATTTATATATTAAGATAATTATGTTTATATTTCTATTAAATTTATAATATTAACTTATAATTAATGTTTAAAAAATATAATCATAAATAAGGTAATTAATACTTACCTTAATTATTAGGTCAATTAATTAAATGATTCCTAAGATAAAGTAGTTTAATACTAGAACCATAATTAATGTCAATTAATATAGTAATTACTATAATAAAATAATTTTATAATGACATAATTGCTATTTATATAATTATATTAATAAATATAAGGATAAATTAGTAAATATTAGGTCAATTATTTAAACGATTAATAAATGTAAGTATAAAGATTAATGCTTACCTTAATTATTAGGGCAATTTGTGTTAACAGTATTCAATAATTGACCAGTTGCTATTTTCCAAGTCAATGTTACATTACTATTCCAAGTCAACTATGGATCAATGCTGGCTTTAATTTTTATTCCAAGCACATTTTATCTTTGTTTGGGGAGACTTTGGGTCAATGGTAATATAATTGCCTCATTTTATTTTTTCAGTAATTTATTTTTTTAACATATTTTCTATAGATATTAGTATATGGGTCTTTATGTCTTTTAATATTAGTATATAATTGTATTTATGGGTAATAAATTACCAATCACACAAATAATAAGATAATTTAATATGGTTCATAAAAATCATATTCAGGAATAAAAAGAAGAGAAACACACAACTTGATACCCCAACGATATTCCGAAACTTGGTACCAAATTTCCAAAGACTAAGCAAAATAATATGATACCTAATAAAATCTTAAACCTATCTAATAATTACTTTAAAAACCCTTTTCTAGGGGTTAAATTAAAATCTCAACTCTTTTTAATTGGCTCAGTAAATTCACTCCAACAGGTAGTGAAAGCCACTCTAGCACTCAGCTCGCTTCCAATCAACTCTAGCACTAGAGTATAGTCGATTCTTGCACTAGAGTTATTTTTTTTAATTTTTTTTTTACAGTAGCATCCCTAACCTCCTCTCATATTTCCAAAATTCTCTCAAACCTCCTCTCTCCACCATTTGCTAACTGAATTCCTTAGGGGTTTGTATATTTTGAAAACATCGGGGGGTTAAAATAAGTATAGCAATTTTTATTGTTAGGTCATTTTCCAATAGAAATTACTAATAACTAATAATAGCATTAATTAATACAAGAGGGTTAGGATAAAAAGTACTCTTCAGTAATCTCATAGAAACATATTCATTCAAGATTAAAAAATTTGTTAATGATTTTAATAATATAATTACGCATAAGATTACCAAATTATTCATCATTTGTTGCTGTATATTGTTAATGTTTGGCTCAAAGATGTAAAAAAGACTAAAATAATCACATGATGAATAAAAAATATAAAATAATCTTATTTAGCAATAATATTATTTAGTAAAACACTATATTGTGGTTTCAGTAAGCTATGAAAGAAAAAACTGATAATTGATTATCTTATAATATAATATTGTTTTATATATGTATAAAAAAATATGTTGAATAATTTTTAGTAATTTGAATGCTATGTTGATAATTTAATTAAAAAATGGTATATTGATTATTTAAATTAAAAACTCGACTCTGAAAGGTTTAAATAAAAGTCGTTCAACATAAGGGGAGTTAAATGATATTGTGTCGAGTATATATTGTATATTTTGGAAACTATGAAGGGCTAATTGGGGTGCAATATTCCCAAATCTACAACATAAGTCATTCAACAGTTCACCCATTTTCCCAAGTTTTGAAATCCCTAACATCATTTTGTTTCATTTCGATTTTATTGCATCGCCTAGATTCCTTCTCTTCCCCGTCGTCCCCGAGCTCCTCTGCCGTTGTCTCTTTCCCTTTCTTTTAGGTCTTCAGCGTCCAGAGACCGGACATTCGACCTTGGCATCGAAAAGCTTCAGATGCTGTTATTGTTCAAAAAGGAAGCAGCTATTCTGGTTGAGGGCTTGTTTTCTGATCATAAGAGCCTAGTGGAAGCAGTGAAAAAAGTTGATGTTGTAATTTGCACCATGTCTCGGGTTCATTTCTGGAGCCACAACTTTTTTTTTTTTGCAGCTGAAGCTTAAGGAGGCGATCAAAGAAGCTGGAAATGTTAAGGTACGATTGTTATTTGTTGGTTATCGGTACGTGTTCTTGACCTTATAGTTGTTAGCTTTAGCTGTGGAATTTTGATTGCTATAGAAGCAATTAACATATTCTACGCCATTGAAATTAACATAATATATTCTGATCCGAATCCAATCCCTTTGCTTCTGATTAATTATATGAACATTTGATAAAAAAATTTACAATGAATGATGTTCTTGATAATTTATAATTACTTTGCTACAATAGTTTTGTTTCTCTATTTTTATATAATGAATAATTAACCCAGCTTTTTTTATATGCACTTATGGTGCTCTTAAAAGATGTTCTGTAGAATTTATTTGTTAGATAAATAATGATGAAATGTTTTCAGAATTTGTAACCTGTTGCTACTGTAGGATTTATTTCTCATGCTTTTGTGCTAAAGTTTTCTATGCCTTCAACTCTTTGTGGGATTGATGCTTTCATGAGAAGTGACTAGAATCGTTGTGCTCATAAACTTCTTTCTGCGTATATAGAAGGTGAGTCTTTTGATGTGCTTACACTTGGTTTTTCTTTTTGAATTGCATCAGCTTATTTTAACTTACTCTGGATGAGTTTTTTGAATTGGATTAGCTTATCTTAATTAGTCTGGATGGGATATTTTTTGAGTTTTTGAATTGGATTGTTTTGATTCTTTTTCTTTATGTATGGTGAAAAAATATTTGATATCATGTACTTCAAATATTAATTAAGATTTTTTATCTGTTTAGTTTAGGATTACATCTGACAAACATGATGCTTCCGTCTTTTTGCTTTGTTACATAGGACAAAATTCTGATATGAGTTGTTTCTTCAGTATTAAGTATCTTGAGAGTGCTGTTAGGGATCCGTTTGTAATTGAGCTCCTCTTCTATGGTGAGTAGTAGAAAAAATAAATTAGATACTACAGATTATGATACATAAGACAGGATTATGGTGAGTACTCCAGTTTTGCTTATTTTGAGATAGCTCTCAGGATTCAAGAGTTCAGTTTGTATGGAAGTTTTTGTCGGTGGTGAGAGTAAAAAAAAGGTGAGATACTAATTAAATTTGTAATAACAGGAGTAGCATTCCAAATGAATTAGAATAACATTTGTGGCTAGATTGTTATTGGTAAATTTCAAAGTTAAGAGCAATAGATATATTTTAAGCATAGGAGATTTTCAAATCAAATGGTATCTGGTGCTTTCATTAATTTTTTTTAATTAGAAGGTAATTATAATAATTTTCATTTATTGTCATGCATTTAGGTGCATACTCCATACTATTATTTTTCACTTAGCGGGAAATATTTAAACTTCTATATCTTGCTGAATTTCCTATACATGTGATCAGGCCAAATTGGTGGTTGTGATGAAATGCTTAGATAGTTAATGGAAATCTATGGACTGCTTCATGCATCCAGGTATTTATTTTCAAGTATGTAAGTTTATCTGCATTAATTACTTGAGCTATTAACATCTGATAGATTTGGTTGCATAAGTGCCATATCTTAGAAAGTCTTTACTGGTGATATCCTTGGTGAAAAATGAAGAAAATTGAAACAACATCGCACTGAATTTGTCTTTCATTTGTTTAAAGGTAAGAAGTTTAATGATTAAGGAATTTGGTGTGGTGATACAAGAATTGTTGCTGGTGTAGTGTTGAAACACTTGCAGTGTTGTTGATTTAGTATTGATGGGTTTGATATGTACTGCTGATTATGGTCTGTCATTACAATCTGGAGGAGAATTAAAGCTTGAAGGGTATGTGGATGCTGATTAGGCCAGTATTTCTGATCGTCGTTCTACTAGTGGCTATTGTTTATATCTTGGCTCCAATCTAGTTCAATGGAGTTCCAAGAAACATGTTGTTGTGCTCTCATCCGCTGAAGCTGAATATCTGGCACTTGCACAGGCTTCTATTGAGGTTGCATGGATGCAAAATCTGTTTTAGGAACTCAGTATCTCTGTCACTGCCACTCCCATACTTTGGTGTGATAACACTAGTGCTGGTGCACTAGCTTCTAATCCAGTCTTCCATGCTCACACAAAACACAGAGATCGATGTTCATTTTGTGTGAGAAATGATTGCCTCTAGACGTCTGACTGTTCCATATGTCTCTATTGAGTTTCAAACTGCTGATCTTCTCACTAAGCCACTCTCCGGTCCTCGGTTTTAGCGGTTACGAGATCATCTCACCATTCTTCCTATTGCAGGTGTTTCTACTTCCTCTTCTTTTAATTATGATAAGTCTTCTTTGTCCTCCTCAAATGCAAGTTCAATCTAAGGGACGATGTTAGCAGTCATCCAGAACTTGCTTTGAGGGACGACAAGAAGTTTAATGATTAATAAGAAGTTGAAGGAAGGAATTTGGTGTGTTGATACAAGAATTGTTGCTGATGTAGTATTGAAACACTTGCAGTGTTGTTGATGTAGTATTGTTGGGTTTGATATGTGTTGCTAATGTAGTGTTGAAATGCTTGAAGTGTTGCTGATGTAGTATTGATGGGTCTGATATGTAATTACTGATGCAGTGTCAGTGTGTTTGATAAGAAGATTGAAGTCTTGTGGTGTGATGATAGAAGTTGAAGTATTGGTGTGTTTAATTGCTACTGCAATATTGGTATTTTTGATAAGAAGTTGAAGGATTGAATTACGGAGATTGAAGTTCTGTGGTATGTTTGATAGAAGTTAAAGTATTGGTGAACCTGATGTGTATTGCTACTGCAGTGTTGGTGTTTCTTTTTATAAGAAGTTGAAGGATTTTTTTTTTTTTTTTTAATATGTGGTTGAAGTATTACTGAGGTGATATTCGTATGTTTGATAGAAACTGAAGTACTGGTAATTTTTGATGATGGAAGTGTTAGTATCTTTCTTTGGCTAAGTCTGAAGTCAATTTTGAGTTTGCTTGAGGGACAACGTTAAGGACATGAGCAAGCTGCACTCGAAATTAAATCCAAAAGAGGACTAATGCTGCTGTTAGTAAAAAGGGAACTGACGTTAAAGAAATGAAGCTTTTGTTTTTGTACTCTGTTAATTGGCAAACTTTGGTTAAAAAGAAGTTATCCCGCCAGTTTGAAATTCTCCCGCTTTTAGTTGTTCTAACTTCAGAAGGAAGAGTTCAGTTGTAAGTAAAAATAGTGCTGAAGATGCAGTTGATCCGACGAACAATCTTTTCCTTTATTGTGTTAGTTTTCTGTACAATCAACGATCATGATCCTTTTTCACTTGGATCACCATCTTTGTACATATAAAAAGGCTCTTTTTCTGTTAAATGAAGTAAGAAGAAAGATTCTCTGTTTTTCATTAATAGTGTATGTCCTTCTCTTTCGATTCCTAGGGTTTGGTTACTACAATTCTAGAATAAATCTTCACAAAAGGAAGGGTGTGGTCTTACAAGTATTTCTTCTTCTGTGGTTGCATATTTCTACCACTTGGTTTCGGTTTGTTAGCTGCTCAACCTGGAAAGAATTCAGTTTGTATATCATATCAATTTTGGCAGGGTTAAAGGTAATTGTAGTTGTGAAATTTTATTTTCTGAACATCAAAGAAGAGTTTGATGTAATGCTTGATATTGGCTTTAATTAATTCAAATTTGACATTAAAAGTATATTGGTTTTTCCTCAGATGGCAAATATTTTTTTGTCTATAAGTATGTAGTGTGTGCCACGGCACAAATGATGATCGTCAATTTTACTGTACCTGAAGGTGATTGGTTTTGCCATGACTTTGATATTTTCAGGGCTGACCATAACAAAGCTGAAATAGATATTGGATGATGATCAAATTTATGAACCCGAAAGAGAGTCCTGGTTGCCTAATGATGCATGTACAACTTGGCTGCCTGTACCGAATTCAAATCTGAACTATCTTCAAGACAGGCGAGTGAAACACTTGGCTAGTTTTCTCTCTTGTTTTTTTAATCGATTGTGTTTTTCTTTAAATCCAAGTTATTACATTCACATTATTAAAATCAACTTGGTTTGATATCAACCCAATGACTAAGAAAAAAGTAATTAAAATAGGTATGGTAGAGGTTGCAGTGAGCTTCATTCTAGAGAGTTGGGTGCTTTGCTTTTCCTGTTGATCATTAACATTATTAGAAATAATAAAATTAACTTCTTTAAACCTCTCTGTTTGACTTTTTGTCCTTCCTTCAATCTCAAAAGAACCAGAAATTGTTTTCATATCCCACGTTAACTTTTATCGCTACACAGCTCACTGGCATATATATACTTGACAGTCATGGACACAGCTCACTCGACATAGTGAAGAACAATTAGACAACATCTATAGGACCTTTCCAATGAAGTTATTACTATCCAGGTATAACCACACCAAGTTTGTCAGGTTAATTATTTTGGAGAATACAGGACCTTCCAAACTATTGTTTGACAACACAAGATATTGAAGATAGAAACAACCTATATTTAAGTGCTCAGGTATTTCACCAGACAACTGATTGTGTGATAGATCCAGCATGTACAATGAGCTCATATCTCCAAAAGAAGAGGGAATGCTACCATTCAAAGCATTTCTGGAAATGTTTAAATATTCTAGCCTCGGGAAAAATGCGCCAACTTCAATAGGAATTTGTCCACTGAAGGAATTGATAGAGATATCTAATATTGTTAAACTCATGTGAGAATGTGTTGGCAATAAAAAAGGCCCAGAAAGAGAATTATTTGATAGATAAAGTCTTTCCAACTTTGTATTGTTCTCTATCAACCAATTTGGGAATTCTCCATTCAATTTGATGTCAAAGAGATAAACAACTTGCAAATCATATTGATGATAAAGAAATCTTGGAAATGTAGCACCATATCCATAAGTATAACCAGACAAAGTGATGGAATTTAATTGGAATTTTGGGGTCCAAGAATGTGGCATTGTTTCTATATACATCTGGTTATTGGAGCTCTCGAATTCTTTTAGTTTTGATAGGTTGTAGAGTGGTGTGAGTGAAATTGGGATTTGGAGGAGATTGTTTGAAATTCGGAGGACTCTAAGAGATGTCATATCTTTAAGGGGAGATGAAGAGAGGTTTCCAGTAATTTGATTGGAAGATATGTCTAATGATTGAAGTGAAGTCAAATTGGCTAAGCACGGAGACAATGTATCCCGTAAAGCATTATAGCTAATATCTAACTCTTCCAAATGCACCATCTCACACAAACCTGAAATAAAACATTTCCTTGAATTATCAAAATATAATTGGCTAAGCACGAAGGCAAAGTATCCCGTAAAGCATTATAGCTGATATATAAATGTCTAATATCAATTTTCTCACTTTTTAATTTCACTTCAGCCTAAAAATGCAAGTGATTTTTGTAATAAATCATAAATTTTGTAAATTGTTTCTTTATATTTTTTATCTAAGAAAAGGATCAACTTATTTTTTTCTTTATTGGTTATGATAATGAAAATCAGACTTTGTGTAATTTCTAGATATTCCATAATTTTTTAACAACATACAATTATTGGAACAAATGGTATTTTGATACGGTCAATTTTATTGAGTAGCGTAATATTTTAGATATCGTTATAATTTTTAAATTTTTTATCTAACTTTATAACATAAATGCAATTAATGACATCATGCTAATAATAATAATAATAATAATAAAGCATTAAGAATCATAAAAGAAAAAAAAAAGTCATGAGCAATGGAAGAGAAAAAGACGAGGGAGAAAATCACTAACCTTGATCATGTAATGTGCCATTGAGTCCACAATTCTGCAATGATAACTTCTTCAGAGTAGCTATCGGTCTAATGATTTGACGGAAACTATTGTTGAAAGTAGTCCCGTTCATAAATAAACTTTCTAAACTCTTGAAATTAATAGGACCTACAATATTGACATGATTTTTTGTGAATATTCATGAGCAAAAATGTTCCAAAATTTGAAATTATGAAACTACTCATATTAAAAATCATATTAACTTTTCTAAAAGTATATTAAATTCTTCTTAAGGATTAAATAGGGTGGACTTGAATGGTAAAGTTCCACTTAGAATATCGTATGGCAAAGATTTAGACTTTAGGGTAGGTAAATGCTTACTCTCTTAAAATATAAAATATAAATATTCTCGGAATTTCTTACCCAAAGTTTAATAGAAAGGAAAATTACCATTTGATATACATATATTCATTTCATTTTCTCCTTATCTAACTTTGATTGAACATCAATATTCTATGCATATAAAATTTTGTTCATAGCTGATAAATCATTAAGAGCACCGGCAAGTGTTTTATCTACCTATTGAAAGAAATTTTTAGTAACTAGAATAAAGTTCAAAAATTTTGTAGAATACTAAACATTTTTGTTATTTTTAAAGATTAAATGAGGTGGAATTAAACAGTAAAAGGAATTCAATCCAATCCATTCCAAAAGAGGAAAGTTACTACCCTTTTCAATATTTTATGGCCAACATTTAAGGCTAATTAAAAGTCTGCTCCATTAAAATATAAATATTTGATCTTATTTTTAGAATTCCCAAATCTAGAATATTATAATAAAAGAAAAATTAATTTTCAATATGCATAGAATTAATATTTGATCTCATTTTTGTAAATATTTCATTTTTTTTCTGCATCTAACTTGAATATAAATTTTCTATATATACAAAATTTTTATTGATAACTATTAATCATTGAGAACAATACGAGGTGTTTCATCCCCAAATTGAAAACAAATTTTAATATCTAGGATTAAGTTTAAACATTATCTTATATATGAATTAATGCAAATGAAACTAATCTTGAATTTACCTTGAACTTCTGAGATGCCATTGAGTTCACAACCGATCATTGACAAATGTTTCAGTGAAGCACAAGTTGCAACAGTTTGTAGAAAACTTATATGGAGCTTTGACTCATCCAAGTTCAATTCTTCCAAGGTTGTCAAATTATGCAACTCTGTTAAAGCAATACAACAAATTTAAATGATGTTAGGTAAGTAATTGACAAATTGTCAACAACTTTATTTCAACAACATAACTTTAACTTATTTCTTACCTTGAGTAATCATTGTTCGATTAAAACTATTATATGAAAGGTCAAGTGTCTTTAAGAAGGGGAACAACCTCAATGTTGACTGTAGAAAAATAGTTGCATCAGTGGTTTCAATACCACTCCATAGATCAAGGGTATTCAACTTCTTCAAGCCTCTATAACCTGTAAATTAAAAAACTGAATTATAATTAACAATCTTTAACATAATACAAGGAAAGGATTTTACATAGGAATTTATTGTGTATTGAAGTTTCATTCATTTAATAAATAAGATTATATATTGTTTCTAAAACTCAGTTTTCATATTTTGCAAATTCAAGAAATTGATAAAAATAATTTGCTAGTTGGTGTTAGTAAGGCAAATTTAGACTTAAGTCTAAAACACTGCCGTTTAGACTCTTCTATTAAACTGTACCTTTTTTTGTCAGTTAATAAATGTCTTCTCTCTCAAGCTTCTTTTTGTTTCTAGAAACAGAGTTGAACTTCTTCACTTGTACAAGAAGAAGTCAATTACATTTTGTGAATGAAACTTTCGTGTTCTCTCTCAAGCTCTCTTTAAGTTTTTGCAACTTTATTCTCAAAATCCATAGTTGGAGTATAATGATTTAAACTCAAGATTCGGAACTTTTTGTTTTTCTAAAAAAAAGAAAAAAGAAAAAAAAGAAAATTAAACTCAAGAATTATGGCTTCGTTTGGTTGGATTTTGGGAATACTATTTTTAGTATTCCCAAAAAAATTAAACAGTAAAATACCAAAAAACTCACAATATTATTCAACTTTATTCAACTTTTTTTAAACCCTCTAAATTTGTTAATTTAATTAAATACCCCTAAATATTTTTAATATTTTTATTACGACAACTCCGACCACCCTCTAGCGGTGGTGGCCGACTGTCCATATTTGAGGGTGGATTAAGGGTGTTTTTGTTAATTTTTAATGTTTTATTATAGGGGGTGTTTTGTAAAAAAACAAACATAGAAGGTATTTTATTAATTTGTAAATCATACATCGTAATACCCGCCCAATTCAACTTTTTTTTAACTTTTTTCAAAAAACTTTTCTCAAAAACATAAAATTGTGAACCAAACGGAGCCTATGTTTTGCAAAATAATATTTATAGTACACAGAAAATCTTTTTTTTTTTTTTTTAAATTTACCCTACATTTCCAAGTTAAAATTGTCAAATGCATTTGATTTTAAAGATAATACTAATATACAAACTATACCCTACAACATTTTTGTTTAATATTTCAATAATATGAAACAGTTTTCAAATACACAACAAAATAAAATTTTGTTTTTCATTTTTATTTTAGAAAATGATAATATAAAAATAATTTTACATAGTTGTTCTGTACATCACTTAGTATAACAGTCTTAAATATTGTTTTTGTATTAAAAAATAAACTCATTAAATATTATTACTTAAGTTTAGTTATGGGTATGTGGTTATGGAATGAATTGAGTACCTTTGGAATTGACAAATTTGTCAATCCTATTCCTGCCAATGTGCAGCTCTTCTAAGTTTTCCAAGGATTGTAATCCTGGGAAAAAAGGAAACATAGTTAATTAAAAACTCTTTAAGAAGACATGAGGAATTTGATCAAACTTACCTTCAAGATCAACAGTTCCGTTCAATCCAATATCATATAGATACAAAGATTTTAATGAAGAAAAACCATCCAAAGATGATAATATGCTATTGTTGAGCTTGTTATCACTTAAATCGATTGACTCCAGGTTACTCAAACCTGGAAATAGTTAAAAAAATTTATAAAATTAAACAATTTCATATATTTAATTTAAAAAGTACAATTATATTGTGAAAAAAAAAAAAATTTGATATTATGAGAATGAGAAGCTTGCTAATTACATTGAATATTATACTACAAACAAATCTAAAAATCTTTTTATTATATTTAATAATTAAATATATTAAAAAGCATTTACACAGGTAGAGTCAATGGCCACCGATGCCGGTAATCATTTCCGACAACCGTCAACCAATGGCTGGTGACCTACGACGTCATGGAGTGATTCCAGAGACAAAATGAACATCAAAACGACACTCTTGTAACAATCTACATATCTAGATTACGCCCACACAAAAAAAATGCAGCATTTGACCACTAGAAGAGGAGAGAAAAACAGCGACCCTTCGCTTCTTCTCCTCCTACGGCCAAAACATAATTTATTTGCTAATTATTCTTAAGACAACGATAGATCATTTCGTGAGCAACACTCTGGTGCCGACGGTGTCATCGGACGCTCTCCGGTGACTTTGCTATTTTCCCTGCGCCGGTCACCGGCGATCGACACTACTGGTAATACTGGTAATCAATGTTTTTTTCTTTTTCTTTTATATACTTATATATTAAGATAATTGTGTTTATATTTTCTATTAAATTCATAATATTAACTTATAATTAATGTTTAAATAAAGTAATTAATACGTACCCTAATTATTAGGTCAATTAATTAAATGATTCATAAAATAAAGTAGTTTAGTACTAGAGCCATAACTAATGTGAATTAATATGGTAATTACTAAAATAAAATAACTATATAATGACATAATTGCTATATATAATTACATTAATAAATGTAAGGTAAAATTAGAAAATATTAGGTCAATTAATTAAATAATTAATAAATATAAGAATAAAGAAATTAATACTTACCTTAGTTATTAGGCAATTAATGAAATGATTCCTAAAATAAAGTAGTTTAATACCGGAATCATAATTAACGTCAATTACTATAGTAATTACTAAAATAAAATAATAATAGTTATATATAATTATATTAATAAATGTAAGGATAAATTAGTAAACAAATATATAAAAATTTGAACTCAAGAATTATATTTTGGAAATTTTAAAACAAAATTCATAGAACACAATAAATTTATTTTACCCTATATTTTTAGTTAATAATGTCAAAATCCATTTAATTTAATATTTCATTAAAATTAAAAAAAAATCATTTTTAATATAAAAATTATTTTACAAAACTATTCCCGTTGCCCCTTTATATAAGAGTCTCATAAAAGTTAAAAGACTATCCTAATTAAATATAAATAAAATATTTATTAAAATATATTTTTTTCATCATTACTTTTGAGACTGACATATTGGTCAATTCATGTCCAACTCCTTTAAGTTTTTCAAAGAATATAACCTAGGAAAAGATTAAACAATTTCACAAGATTAAAACTCTTTCATATACATAATTTAAAAGTTCAGTTATTAAAAATTCACAAAAAAATGGTTGAAATTAAGAGAATGAGAATGAGCAACATTCTGATATCGATGGTGTCATCAAACGCTTTTCGATGACTTTGCCAGTTTCTGGTGCCGATCACCGGCGATCGGCACTCATTGGAAATCATTATTTTTTTTTTTCTACTTTTATATATTTATATATTAAGATAATTATGTTACATTTTCTATTAAATTCATAATATTAACTAATAAATAATTAATGTTTAAATAAAGTAATTAATACTTATCCTAATTATTAGGTCAATTAATTAAATGATTAGTAAAATAAATTAGTTTAATTCTAGACCATAATTAACGTCAATTAACTTGGTAATTACTAAAATAAAAAATTATATAATGGCATAATTGCTATATATAATTACTTACATTAACAAATATAAGGATAAATTAGTAAATATTAGGTCAATTAATCAAATGATTAATAAATATAAGGATAAAGTAATTAATACTTTCCTTAATTATTAGGCAATTAATGAAATGATTCCTAAAATAAAGTAGTTTAATACTATAACCATAATTAACGTCAATTAATATAGTAATTACTATAACAAAATAATTATATAATAACATAATAGCTATATATAATTACATTAATATAAATATAAGGATAAATTAGTAAATACATATATAAAAAAATTGAACTCAAGAATTATATTTTGGAAATTTTAAAACAAAATTCATAGAACACAAGAAATTTATTTTACCCTACATTTTTTAGTTAATAATATCAAAATCATTTAATTTAATATTTCATTAACATAAAAAAAAAATTTCATTTTTAATATAAAAATAATTTTACAAAACTATTCTCGTTTTCCCTTGATATAAGAGTCTCACAAAAGTTAAGACTATCCTAATTAAATACTAATAAAATACTTATTAGATTAAATACAAATTGGTCAATCTTATTCCAACCCATGTCCAACACTTTCAAAGAATGTAACCCTAGGAAAGGATTACACAATTTCACAAGGTTAAACTCTTTTATATACATAATTTAAAAGTTCAGTCACTAGAAATTCACAAAAAAATGGTTGAAATTAAGAGAATAAGAAGCTAGCTTATTACCTTCAATATTAACAACTCCTTCAAATCCATTTTCATATAGATATAAATACTTTAATGAGGAGACACTAGTTAGAGATGATAAGATACTGTTGTTGAAGTTGTTGAATCCTAAATGCAATTCCTCCAAGTTACTCAACCTTGATAGCCTCTCGAAACCTACAAATACTCAATCATTTTCAAGCGAATAAATTGCTTCATGCATATTATCATATAATGTATCACAAAATTATTCACAAAATATTGAAAACATAAATCAATAAGTAAAAGTAAAATTCCAACTTTAATATTTCTGGGGATCTTTTCCAATATTTTGATTAAATATGCATACAATTCTAATTGATTGAATTTATGCAGATAAATCCAATTGATTGAATATCTACTAAGAATATAACTTTTAAGAGTTTGAAAATATATTGAAATCCTCAAATTTAATTGTAACTGAGAGATTTTTGAGGAATTTATAATAATGTGAAATCATTTTATTAAAATCATATGGTACTAGCTAGATGCAAAGAAATTTACTGGAAATTAAATATGAACCTAAATTTAGAAATAAGAAAGTTGAAGGGAGGAAGACAATTGACCTTCATTCTCAATACAACCAGCTATATAGTTTAAACTTAAATCAAGGGATTGTAGTTGTTGGAAGGGAGAAAACAAAGAAGCATTTAGATACCACTCTTCCTCCCTTATAAAAGAAAGATCGAGTTTGATGACTCTGCTAGTGATGTTGTCACACTTAACACTTTCCCATTCACAACACTTTGAATTTTCCACCCAACTATGAAGATAATTATTAGTATTGAAAAATGGTTTAAGTTGTAACAGAGCAGCTCTCTCTTCCTCCCAACACCCCTCTCCTGAAGAAACCAACATTATTACTAACAACACCCAAAACCACTTACAATCCATCTCTTAATACACTCTAAAACTCTGTGACTCACATAACACTACACTATCCCCTATTTATAATATAATGAGGCCCTAGTTCTCTTGGACTTGCATGTCTTTTTCAATATATATTTTCCTTTCTAAATATCAACAATATTTTATTCACTCAACTCAAAATATTTAATACATTTGATATAAATATGTTAAGAAACACGAGAGAAAAAAACTCAAACAAATTAAAAAAATAGATGAAGGTTCATAATTAGAACAGTAAAGGATATAATTTTTTATTCAAAAATCTATTTCTCTAAATCACATAAGATGGGATTTTTATTCTCTCTAATCATGTTTTCCTCCTATCTTTTTTTATTTGTTTCAAAATTTTCAATTTAAAATTAAAATAACTTAAATATAAAACCAAATAATATTAAATTAAACGAATTGTACAAATTAAAGAAGGATTTGGCAATCCTTGTCAACTTTAGATCAATGAACACAAATTAATTAAAAGAAACACAAATCAATAAATCATTATGATTAGACTTTAAAATTAACTTGAGGTGTAATTTTATCTTATCTAATTCAATAAATCGTAATAATACTTTTTGTCATTATATTTTAAATACATTATACCAAACAAATATTAAATACTTCTTGTTATTTTCCAAGTCAACTATTAGTTAAACTTTAAAGTTTATGGCTAAATATGGTCAATTCTGTATTTAATAGTCAATTACTATTGTATTTATGAATAATAAATCACTAATCACATAAGATAATTTAATGTGATTCACAAAAAGCACATCCACGAATGAAGGGAAGAGAAACACACCACTTGATACGGCAACGGTATTCCAAAACTTGGTACCAAATTTCCAGAGACAAAGCAAAATAATATGATACTTAACAAAGTCTCAAAACTATATAATAATTACTTAAAAAACCTTTTTCCAGAGGTTAAATTAAAATATAAACTCTTTTTTATTGGCTTAGTAAATTTACTCTAACAGATAGTGAAAGTCACTCTAAAGCTCGACTCGCTTCTAGTCAACTCTAATGCTCGATAATAATTTTTTTAATTTCTTTTTCTTAAAAAGCTAAAATAAATTTTATATACATTTATTATTATTTTTTAAAAAACAATATTTTATATTTCTTTTCTTATATATAAAACTCAATAAACTCTTATCTCCGTTATTCATAACGCATTACCTTTATCCTATTTATAATAGAATATTCTACTCAAGTCTTAGTCTCTAGGCCTCGACAAATAAATTTAATATCATTTGGTAAAAATAAAAAATAAAAGAAAAAGGCTGAAACAAAGTGAATTAATTAAATGGTCCGGTTTCCTTACCAACTAATAAATCACTAAAGAATCATTACTCATTTGTAATTAGACTTTAGAATTAACTTTTAGTTTTTTCTTATCTAAATTAACACAACATTATAAAATAATAAATAAAACATAATTTTTATCAATCACTTTATATATATATAATAATAAAATATACCAAACATTTTTGGAACATCAAGCTATATATATATATATATAAAATAAAATATACCAAACATTTTTGGAACATCAAGCTAAAATTTAGTTGTATTGACTAGCTGTCATTTTCCAAGTCAATGTAATTGGTTAAGACTTAATATATCAAAAATAGAACCAAACACATCTTACACGTCAAATACTCTGGCTGCCTAATTAAAAAACAGTAGTTGACCCGATCTTCAATTAGGGAACTTATTATCAACTCCTTAATTCTTTTGGCCATTTTTTCTTTCCTTTTTATTCCCATAATAAAAAGCAATTACTTGACTCTATATTTATATATTTAAAGTTGTACTTGTTAATTTTTCACATATATGAATAATTAAATTACACCTTTTTTGCTTTTTTTAAATAATGAAAAGTTGTTGGATTTAGTGACTCAGCCCATTTAGGAAGTTACAAGTGGAGTAAATATTTTAATATATTGTTACATTTCTAGTTTTTTTAATTTCTTTTTAGTAGACTCATTTGGAAGAAGCAATTTGGTGGGTGCCAAAAAAAAGAAAAAAATTACACTTGATAGGGTTCATTGGAGGTATCGCTTTGCAACTCAAGTACTTGATGTAAATTTATAGTTACATTGATTTGGATGAAGAGGACATATATGTATAGTTTCAGAAAACTTTCTCAAAACTGCAGATCAGAAAACTTTCTCAAAACTGGAAATTTATGCACTCTATGAAACCATAGTCAATCTGGAGATACTATGAATGGACCCTCTCAGTACTGACTTTTGTTGTGTAGCAGAACCCACAGTTAAGATGAAACCTGAGCCCTAAAGAAACTTCTATGAGACTATTTCAGAGGGTCTACCACACAGCATATGAATATATATACCTTGTTCTATATTTTTAATGTGCTCAAATGCTGCAAATTAGCTCTATGCATTAAATTTCATAAAATAACCTGATTAAAGAACAAAGCAAAGTGCGCTAGCTATTTTAAAAGTAAGACTCAGTTAAATAAATCCATTAAATTTAATTGGAAAAAAAGGGTACAAAGGTTACAAACATATGAAAATAGGTTTGTTTAGAAATAATAATATAAAAATACCTATTTTAAAAGTAAGTCCCAGTTAAATTTTGCCACCTATACATTTAAATTAAAAAAATNAATTTTTGGACATCAAGCTAAAATTTAGTTGTATTGACTAGTTGTCATTTTCCAAGTCAATGTAGTTGGTTAAGACTTAATATATCAAAAACAGTACCAAACACATCTTACACGTCAAATACTCTGGATGCCTAATAAAAAAGCACTAGTTGACCCTGTCTTCAATAAGGGAACATATTATCAAATCTTCTTTTGGCCATTTTTTCTTTCCTTTTTATTCTCATAATAAAAAAGCAATTACTTGACTCTATATTTATATATTTAAAGTTGTAATTGTTAAATTTTCCACAAATATGGATAATTAAATTACACCTTTTTTGCCTTCTTTGAAATAATGAAAAGTTGTTGAATTTAGTGACTCAACCCATTTAGGAAGTTATAAGTGGAGTAAATATTTTAATATATTGTTACATTTCTAGTTTTTTCAATTGCTTTTTAGTTGACTCATTGGAAGAAGCAATTTGGTGGGTGCCAAAAAACAAAAAGGAAGAAAAAATTAGACCTATAATATAAAATAACCCATTCCGTTTCTTAAAGATAATAATCATTCGCTGTCTAATTATCATTACATATATTAGGTTTTGGTTGAAATAGTGGCTGTTTACTTTACATCAAAATAGATATTTATTATGTAAAATAACCCATCAACATAAAAGTTTGTGTTAATAATTGATTTTTAAATACCTTTAATTAATACTGATATTGTGGTCTAAAAACAAAAAAAAAATTTGATTCCAAATTAATAGTTTACTTTCCCTAAGAGCATCTTCAATAGTGTTCTTTATTTTGAAGAGCATCTTTATTAATTTTTAAATATAAAGAACACAATTTTTATTCAAATCCAATAGAATCTTTAAATTTATTGAAGATACTCTTTATTTTTGAGAAAGAGATTTAATGGGAGAGAGAATTAAAAAATCAAATGTATAGGAACTTGTAGTTTATTAATTAAAATTATGATAGAAAGTGAAATTTGACTCTCTAAATGTGGAGAGTCAGACTCACTCTCTAATTTATATTTTAAAGATAAAGAATATATTGGACTCTTGTTTTTATGAATATACTATTTATAATAAAGAGTTTGAGTCATATAAAGAGTCATTTGGAGATGTTCTAAATCATTGTCCAGCAAGAGGCAGGAATGTGGCCCATGAAGTGAGAAATTCTTAGACAATTTTTATATATCATGAATTTATTAATTCAATAATTTTTTTTAATATATGAAAATTTATTTTCATAAAATCCAATCATTATAGTAGTTAATTGGAGAACAAATTACACGATCTTTTCTAAAGAAGTAATTTTTGGTCCGGAAAACAATATAAATCAATCAATATTTTGTTTATTTATAGTGACAAATTATTTGTATAAAATAATGTGATATTATTACGTGATTTTCATAATATAAATCTATCAATATTTTGTTTATTTATAGATGATACTTTCTATAGTTCATAATGGAATAACATAGCGAGAAATTTTTATATTTTCTCTAAAATGTACATATAAAATTTATTTTTATTTTCTCAAATCATGTTTTTTCCCTTAAAGATTTTTTGTATGTTTAAAAAAATTAAAATTAAATATTATTTTAAAT